CCAGACCAGAAATTCTGCCTTTTATACATGACCCACATCACAAGAGACAAGTTTCACCTCTTCTCTTATGTCTCTAAATATAAAAGAAAAAAAATACCTTGAGAACAGTATTTGCTACGGAACACAAGAAATACAAATTTACTAGTCTCCATAATCTCGTTATGTGGTGGAAATACTTGCAGAGATGAAACAGTTGAAGAAGCATTTAAAAATGAAATATTTAGTCCATCATCTCAACAAACAAGCTGAGTGCAAGAAATGCTTCATATAAACCTATTGGGTATTGTTTTGGAAAACATGAGTTGGTTTCCCTCTCCCTCAAAGGATGAAATAGGATTTCTGTCATGATGATGAGTCACACAAACTGTTCAAGAAACAATGGACTTGTGATATTTAGATTTAGTAAACAGTATCTGCACAGGCAAAGCCATGATTTAAAAAAACAGGGAGGCTCTTAGGTATCTACTTTTAAATCCAAAAAGTGTTTCTTTTGTGCCACGTTCAATACAACATGTAATATGCACTCAGAACCAAATGATCACTGGATGGTGATGATGAGTATATGTCTGCTACATGCATTTTATTCTGACTGTATAACATACATTCATAGAATACAGTATAACCACTCAGAGCAAACCACTAAAGTGCATGCCCTGAGGGCACATTAAGTATGTTGTCTCCAACACTGGCTGCTCAACTGCCAGAACACTGATACAGAAAGGGCTCATTTCTGCTTTATATCCCCATTTTGTGCTGAAAGAGTAAGAGCTAGCATCCCCTGCTCCCTCCATGAAAGGGAGCACTGTGAAGCAGGCTAATTGCCTGCTACTGAAAAAGCCCTTTTGGAAAGAAGTTACCACCCTGAGAAGGTGCTGTACAGAAAATGTAAGGAGCGAGTCTTGGATTAACTCTTGGGTAAGTGGAACTGTGTGCTGGGTTAGGCTGGGATGGGGTTAATTTTCATCACAACAGCCTGTATGATGCTGTGTTTTAGACATGCAACCAAAACAGTGTTGATAACACACTCTGTTACTGAGCAGTGCTTGCACAGGGTCAAGGCCTTCTGTTTCTTATTCTGCCACCCCAGCAGAGTAGGCTAGGGTTGGGCAAGAGGGTGGGAGGGCACACAGCCAGGACGTCTCACCTGAACAGACTGCCGAGATACTCCATACCATATAATGTCATACTTGGCAACAAAATTGGAAGTGGGCAGGGAGGAGGGTAAAGTTTTCCAAAGCAGCCATTGCTCAGAGACTGACTGGGAATCCACCAGCTGGTGGGAGGTGGTGAGTGATTGCCTTTGCATCACTTGGGTTCTTTTTTTTTCCCCTTTACTTAATGAACTGTTTTTATCTCGACACATGAGTTTTCTTGCTTTTGCCTTTCCAATGCTTTCTCCCACCCTACTGGAAGAAGCGAGCAAGTGACGGAGTAGGGGCTTACCTGTCAGCCAAGATCAACCCACCACAACCTGTAACTGGGTTTTCCACTTTAAATTCTCCCTTCTTGGATGTGTTTTCATTATGCAGAAAGTGTGTGGGTTACCATGCCAAGCTAAGGCCACATGTAAAACCCAATCCTGGTTTTGGCAGCTGGGAGTGTGACCACAAGCTACTGGAAAGCTGAAGATGCACTTCTAAGTTGGCCACACCACATGTTTACTCTAGCTGTGGAGCAGTACTGAAACTGTAGAAGTGATGGGCTGCACTCCTACCACAGCGGTACCATACAAAAAAAATCTACTTCAGAACTTTAGCTCAGCACCTACCGCCCTTCCCATTCAGTCCAGGTGACATCCTGAATCACTGACAAAGGAAGGTGAAAAGGCATGTGCTAGGACTGGTGGGACAAAGGGGGTGTGACACTCTGCCACATGGCACACCTTTGCTGAAAGAGCAATACAGAAATGACAGCTGAAAGAACGAAAAAAATTCTCTGGGGCTGGAAGAAGCAAAAAAGATGACACACGGCTGCTCAGCTTCCAAACAGAGAGTAAAATAATGTGGAAAGAAATGAAACAATTTAAAGTATGGCATGCTTTTTTTTCCTCTCAAACCTAGCTAATCAGAGGGGCAGACCAACTGCTGGGAACGAGTAATCCCATGGGCTTGGTGTTTAAACCCCAACTGTCCAGCCTGAATCTCCAGTCCTCAAGCACTGCTTGGTTCAGTGGACTTTCCAAGGGGATGATTTCCTATCTCCACGGTCTAACCAGCTCCTCCTGCAGTGTCATTCTCAGTGCAGCAACACTCTCGAGTTAGTCTAGACTGCTTCCCACACAGCAGTCCATACACTGGCTTTAATAACCAGCTGGGAAAACTCCCCATATTTAATCCATCACAACTGGCAGACCCCAGCACCTCTACTGCCAACTGGGGATTTACCTGTCAAGTGTTCTACTCCGCTATTCCCACTAGGGAAGGAAAGCAGAGCCTAAGTCTGCCCTGGAAAGTTGTTACTTCAGACGTCAGTCTTCTGCTTATCTCTTTGCACAAGATGGAGCTGGAAGAGGGCTGCATGTAGTTTGGTTACAAATGAACTTCAAAGGATGTTTAAAATGGCCACTGGAAAGCCTGCGTGTGGACGGAATGCCTCTTTGGCATGACTGAAAAGCTCTGCATGCCAGATCACTCAAGTGGTGCACGTGATGTTATTAAGAACTTTATAATGATATAGATTTGTCACTTAAACATTACAACTACCCATAGAAAAGCGCTGACTGTGTCTTTTAAACACCATGTAAATAAAAACATTTTCTTCTTAAAACAGGATAAACTGCTATAAGAATGGTGCACAGTCAAGTCATACAAAAATACAAAATTTGTTTCCAACTGCAGTTTCAGTTGCAATTGCAGAGGAAAGTCCCCACCCAGGACTTCCAGTGAGCAGAGAACACAAAGTTGTAGAACTGGTCATGGCAAAAATTTGTTGTCAAAATGTGCAGAATCCACGGCTTCAATCCAACCACCTCCATTAACTTCCAGACAAGGTAAGTATTAATTTCTCTGGAAGCAACTCTGTATGTGGCAAGTCTCTTAGCCTTGAAATCCAGTTTCTAGCATTCATCTGAGCCATTTTTTAAACTGCTGTTGCTAAACCCTATTGATGTACACAAATACCAGCGTTCAGTGCCATCTCCTCTTCACAAATTTTAGGCTGCTGTAGTGCTTCTTCTAGATTAGTCTGACCTCTAACTTGCACTTGGAGGCCTCGCCAGGGCTGCAGTTTGAATCCCTAGGTTGAAGCTCTAGTCCAGTTAGCACTTACACAGATGTGTAACTTACAACTTCCATACTTAAGAGTGCCCACCTGATGTCAGTGGAGCTACCAGTATGGTTCACTTCACAAATTTTAGGCTGCTGTAGTGCTTCTTCTAGATTAGTCTGACCTCTAACTTGCACTTGGAGGCCTCGCCAGGGCTGCAGTTTGAATCCCTAGGTTGAAGCTCTAGTCCAGTTAGCACTTACACAGATGTGTAACTTACAACTTCCATACTTAAGAGTGCCCACCTGATGTCAGTGGAGCTACCAGTATGGTTCACTTAAACAAGTGCTTGCAGGATTGGACAATTCTATCTCCCTCCTTCCCCAGCAACTTTATTTCTTAAAGGTATTTTTATTTTCATAAATTTCATATAGTTTGGTTTCTGTGAGATGAAGAGAGTAAATCCTTTTAATTGGCTTACCGAAAGAAAACCAATTTAACTTCTCAAATGACTTACAGAAGCAAAAGTGAAGTATTTCACTGTTGCCAAAAGGTAAGAGCACTGGTTAGATACACGATACTACATATTTCTTTTAGACTTTCAATAGCAATGTAAAAGCCTGATCCTCTGAAAGGAACCACAGAGAACTGCTTACTTATTAAACTTGGTAACACGAGTTGCGCATGTCACTACCTCGACAAATCTTTCCACTCCACCACAAAGCTTCTGTAGAAGGGCTTTTCTCTTTCAAAAGATTTTCTCGAATGGAGTGATCGAGGCATTATTTATTTGTACAGAGCTTATATTTAGTGCAATAAGTGTAAAAATTCTGCTCTGAAATATTAACTTTACATTAACAAAAATAGTTTTCTTCAAAAAATCGTAACAAAAGGAGTATATAGCATAGACAGATCATGAATTCTTAGCAAACACACTTTCAAGCATTTACCATTACAATACGCTGAAGAACTGAATATTAGCATTCATATCTGGTGAACTTCCAGACTGAAAAGAAATGTAAATAACTAATAATAATAATAATAATAAAGCATGTTCTCTTGTCCTTATTTGATAACTTAGATAACTATCCTGGCAGTTACACTTCGAAAGAAATGTTTGTCTGCCCTTTCCTGTTTTAGCCACCTGCTACAGTACATAAAAATACCGATGAAATACCAGGCAAAGAATGGTCCCTTCCACCTCCCAAAGCTCTCCAGCACTAACTGAAATGAAGCATACAGTACTTTTTTGTACAGTAGTACAGTTCATTTCTCTTCCCATCCTCAGCATCGTTGCACCTAGTCATGAATTAATCATGAGTATGGCTAAGACTGAGCTTTAACAATCTGTTATTTCAATTGCTCATATGGACAATCCATACCCTTCAAAGGAGCACTGCTGAAGTGTGAAGGAAGCTACTGAACTCAAGGGGAGGATAGTGGGCAAAAGGTAAGAGGGGCAAGTAGAGTAAAACAGGAAGTTAATTGCATAAAAAATTATCTGTCCCTATTTTCTAGTCTCTGTTTAATAGGAGATGCAAGGGCTCCCACACACCTGAATACCTGAGGAGTTGGTTATTGTGATATCTGATACTGATAAACAAAACTCTGCCCCACCAGGGCTGTAAAGTAAAATGACTGCTTACAAACCCGTTCGAACTGAATGAACTCTCACTGAAAACCTCCTTCAGAAAAACTAAACTTGAAACTGTCCTTGATTTGAATGTTTTCCTTAAATGTAACTGTCCAGAATTTAATACAAATTTAAATAAACCCAAGCAAGTAAAACTCTCAGCAGATTAGCAGTGTCATGGGAAATCTGTCTTCAACCCAGTCATCATTTCAGATTATCTTTACGATGATACCTCCTTCAGATTGTAAACTTTCAAGCAGATAAGAATCAACTTTTCCATGACCACAATGAATAGTTTAAAAAATGGAACAATGATAAAGCTGCTTGTAAAAGCCACCCGTATGAAAAGAGTACATGTTTCACAAAAATAATTGTTAAAAAAAGTACTAAATCCCTGTTCCTTTTCTCTGATTTTGGCTGTTTATATATATATATATGTGTGTGTGTGTGTGTATATATATATATATGTGTATGTATGTATATATGTATATATATACTGTTTTGGAATGTCAATGGGTTCCAATATGGCTGGCTAGTTTCAAGATGAACTTGCTCCAGAGGCCTAGAAAACAAAGTCATACAGCACAGTCTTAGACAAATGCCAAAAGACAAGGGGAAACCGAGTCAAAGGGGTCACTGGAAACCATAAAGAAAGTAAGCGGTTTTTTTTCTTTGTGCCTTGATACAAGAACAGAAGGTCCTAAATGTTTCCTCATCTCTGCTATAAACATCTATTTAAAACACAACTGCACTTAGGGCATTTCACTTTTAGAACTAACTGTCATGGCTAAGAAATACCTGCATACCAAGGACACAGAAACAAACCAATAAAGACTATTTTTTGAAGAAGAAGGAAAAAGAAAAATTAATCTAATTTTTGAACACCTGTTTTGGGACCACAGGCACTACTAGTACAGAACAAACTTTATGAATGATCCCATTCCAGTTGTAACTGAGGCCTTTGTCAATGCTTTGGGGAAAGGTGGAGGCAACTGCTGTGTCCCATCCTTGTCAGGAAGTGAGATCCTAGTATTTTAGAACATATTCAACCAAAGCTGAACACCCCAAAACCAAAGACCACTTGAGAAACCAAAGCCCAGTCAGTTCCAAACAAGACTATCACATGAGCAGCAGAACTGGGAGTAATTCAGCGGGTGACACTCCAGCTGAGCCCCAACTGCTCAGCCTCTTCTCTAGCAGTCCTAGGAGGACTTTCAGCCAGTTCCAGGCTTAAGTGCCTAGTGTCCATTTTCTGAAAGAACAAGACCAGCCTTTGACTTACATGTACTTGGTTCACCCTTTTACAAGGGAGGACGAATAAAGGTTTTAACATCCAAGCTTTAGGCAGCCAAGTACAAAAGTATGAGTAGCAGTCTGTGCTAGCACTGGCAAAAGCTAAGTGGAAAACCACTTAAGGTAAACCAGTTGTTTGAGTCAGAGGTTAACATAATACATTTCTGGACTAAAATTTGTGCGTGTGACTAGAGCATCTGCAAAGCCAATTCTCATAGAATCACAGAATCACAGAATGGTTAGGGTTGGAAGGGACCTTAAAGATCATCTAGTTCCAACCCCCCTGCCATGGGCAGGGACACCTTCCACTAGACCAGGTTGCTCAAAGCCACATCCAGCCTGGCCTTGAAGACATCCAGGGATGGGCCATCCACAACATCTCTGGGCAACCTGTTCCTGTTCCTGTTCTCAATCATTTTGATGGCAGCTTTACATTTACAGTGTTTAGACCACTCTGAAAACCCCAACATTAGTGTCTGTTTGAACAGCTAGAATTACTCCCAGAAGAAATCAGTAAATGAGCACAGAATTAGTTTTTTAGATGTATAAACACAGCAGCATTTAGGCATAAGCAAATCTAGAAACTGGTATGCTATAATGAAATAGCAAAACACGCAAAGCTACACATCTATCCATTCTACAGCAGGAACCCATTCCATCTATGTCAAAAAGTGCTCATGCAACATGGCTTTTTCATTTAAAAAAAATTTAAAAACCCCTGCTGTTAGAATACACTTATTTAGGTTCCATTAGGTTAAAAAATTATCATCATGGTTAAGGAACTGCATCAGGCCCCAAATACTCTGAGAAAGTAATGATGGAAAAATATTTTATTTCACAAAGTCATACTGCACAATGACAAGTCATACCTTGTCCAGCCATCGGTCTCCATCATACGCTCTCAGTTCTCCACCTTCCAAACTCATCCTCCTATCTGTAATCTGTACCATGTATAGCTGTTCCTTATTCCAGGCTACTCAGACATGCAATGCCTTCCTAACAGGCACACCATAAGTAAAACAGGCTGCAGAAGCATAAATGATGCATTGTTCACTGTCTGTGCATCTGACAGTGTGAGATGGAAAGAGCACACAAGAGACAAGCAACGTAAGTAGTTGGCAATAAAAACGAACAACTGGGAGAAATGTCATTTGAGCAGGTTGAAAGGAATCACTGTATCCAATTCCTTGGCATTGTACAAAATAATTTGGTGAGAGCTTTAAATGCCTGATTCTACTTCGCAACAATGGATGTGCTCAGTAGTGTTCTTCAGGCTTTTATGGTGAATGTAAGATGAACAAATATTGTTCAGTTCAGGATTGAAAAGAGGATTAAAGTCAGAATAGCCCAATGAATTCCAGAGTCATCTTATTTTCAGAGTACCCAGCAGCTGGGGCTGTCTATGTATACCACATAGCACACATACTAATCCTAATGAAATGATACTGCATTTATTTCGTATGACACAGTTCCTTTCATCTTACTTTTACAGGAGATGGTCTCAGCTGTGACAAAAACTCTGCCATCCAGGTGATAGGCAAGCTCACAAACAGAAAAAGCAGAACATCTTGAGTGATACAGAGAACAAAAACTTCTCCTGAAGAAGTGCAGTCAGTAAAGACAAAGAGGGAGAAGAAGTAAAAGTGAAACTCTTGGAGGATGGCCACCTCCTCATCTGCACCTACCATTGGTTTTAGCTCTCTGCCCTCAGCTCCACCTCCCCGGCCAGCTTCTTTCATAGCTTTCCTACTGTTCTCTACAAACTCCTGCAAAACAGTAATAAAGTGAAAAGTGCTTTCTTAGAGCACACTCCAAACATCAAATCTCAGTACAAAACTTCAAGACGTAACTGCTCAAAATGTCAACACAACTTGTTTCTCCCACTTCTGCTGGTCAGACTCATCCAGGAAGTACCAGGAGAGCCTGCCAAATAGCTACAAGAGTGTCCCTGACTTACCTCTGGAAGCCAGACAGGTATTTTCCCTGTGTGCGGTTACAACTCTCACATTTACTACACAATGCTCTCCTTTATGGGGAGGGAAGGTAGGAGGGTGGTTATCAAAAAACCCCAGCCCCAGAGATCCTAAGCATTACATCTTATCCTGTGAACTGTGTGTAATGTCAGAATTCCATTAAACAGAGGCACTTGGAGGTAATTACTTGCAAGGTCTTGTTGATCTCCCTAATTTCCCTCAACTCAAACTATTAATTTTCACTGGATCGGAATCACCTACTCACAAAGATTAGCAAAGGTGTAAATTCCACTTCATGCAGCCTTCTCTCTTACAGGCAAGCATTCTGTGTCAAATCTCAGTAAAATTTAGCTGCTGGTGTTTCCTGATAGTGACTATTCACTAAAGAAACACACAGTGCTTTCATGATTCACTGGTCTTCTGAGACAGCATGCTGCATTTTATTCTGTGCTAAAAAGCAACTCATCAGCTACTTTATTTATTACATACTCTAGATACTGATACCAAAAAATTAATAAATTCTTGACATGTTTTTCCAACAAGTAATCAGAAAAAAAATTATGCAAAAACATCATCAGAGTCTTCCTCTAGACTACAGATGTAGGTCCATTCTACAGGGACACATTCTACAGTTGCCACTTGAAAACATTATCAAGAGAACTACCTTCTCACAACAAACTGAATTTTTACATCTTGGACTCTAGCTAGAGTGAACAGGGAATAAGATGGGACAAACAAATAAGAACTAAATTGTGCCCAGGGACGTGACATAGCCTCTAGGCTCAAGAACATATAATCTGTTGTTTCTGTGCATGGCAGACTGAGAAGCAAATTCTGGTTCCTATCTATCTGAACAAGGAAAAACCCCAGTGTGGTCACTATCTGCATGTGGGATACAATACTCTGATATTTTTTTCTCTTACGTGTCCCAAGAGAGGTCCTTCTTAGGAAAGTACAAAACCGAAGCCTTTACCCTTTGTTTTGCTTCTTTCCATTCTGCAGTGTATCATTTAAAAGAACTGATACCCAAAGGTATGATTTCTGCAAAGTAACTGGTCATCTCAGAGCCAGCATATAGAAGCCAATACTGGTAATGTCAAGGGAACATGTTTGCTGATCAAGCCATGAACAAGACAGCAAGGTAACCCAGATTAAAAAAAAAAAAAAAAAAACAAACCAATATTAAACTCAGCGAGTTCACTACACTCTCAACATACCCATCCTATGAAACCATATTCTTAACCTTACAGAGCAAGGGGAAACTTACCATGAGAACTTTATCCATGTAGAATTCCCTTCCAGGGCTCCCATCATTATATTTTGTATCAATGGCAAAACATAAGAAAAGGACATCAACAACCATTTCATAAATGGAAAGGAAGCAGTGAGCAACCAGGAATGCAAAGAGGCAGACAATGATGAGTGGCAGCACCCAGACGGTGTAATCTCGTTGGTAATTCAGCAACATAATCCCAGCCAAACCTGTACTGCAGACAATCAGGACCTGAGGATGAAAGCAGAACACAAGTCTAATGGCAGAAGCCTTTTTTTTTTTTTTTTTTTAATCTATGTACTTCTTGCTCTGCCAGGGCTATAACTAGGAGTTACAGATAGTAGTGGTAACAACATCTTTACTTCCTGGATTCCTCACATCCCTGAGTGTGAATGACATGGGGAGATGGAGAGAGGAAGGCAGGTCTTGGGAGGCGGTATGTTTTTCATTCTGCTGGCAGAAACAACTTCCAAGCTTGTCCTCTCTCTGTTTCATTCCATACAGGGAAAGTAGATCAGAATTCATGTGAAGCATTTCATGCAACAATCTCCAAAGAGATTGTACACCTTGCACACTATGTGCGAGGCCCTAACAGATAATTTAACTGGGTGTCAGTTTGGTCTTTGGGAATTACAAAAAGACTAAAACAATTGTAGTGGCCACTCCACATTTTTAACATTTCTGAACCTATCATTATGAACTGCAGTTAAACACAAAATTGTAAAATACAACAGCTTTACTGTATTATGAAAATACCAGGTTGCACTGATAGAGGATACAGCCTGGTGGCCCAGACCCATTTTAGCTGGCAGTATTTTTTATATGCTGCACTGTTCATTTCAACATTTCTGTCACCTGTGCAATTCTCTAGTAATTTGAAAGGCGTCTTTTCAGGGAGATGTTTTCTAACACCTTTGAGACACCTCCACAAAAACACGTTATGTCAATTTCATTGTCTTCCAAGCACCTCCATCTTCATTATGTGTTTATTTCTTCTCACATCTTATTGACTTAATTACTGGATTATAAGTTCAGCCCACTGTACTCTGACTTAATAAAAGTAGAGGAATGTAATAAGGAAGACAATTCAGTCCAAGCTGGCAGTTCCTCATCGCAGGCTCCTGTACTACCTTCCAGTCCCATTTTGTCATAAATGTTAATCAATAATATGCCAATTTTCAACATAAACCTGGAGAGTCCTTATGAAACAGAATTTAGAGGTAATGCTTCCTTTCCTTGCAATTCTAGGTTTTAACCACAAGACCCATCAAAAACTCAGAACATCCAATAATCACTTTTCTCTTGACTCCCTAAAAATAAATTCACGAAAAAGGCATCATCATCTCCAGCTACTCTTTTCTGATCACTTTTACTTAATATAAGTGAGTCATCTGTTTATCCTCCCTATCCTGTATAGTGCTTTCCTGATATGATGCAGTTAGACATGAGAAAGTGTCTGCTAAGAAATTTCAAGGCATTTTGTATCTGGAGTGCAAGCCATTGCTAAGGAAAGCTTGCTAATATGTAGGTCAGTAACAACTGTATACAGCAGACATACCTTTCCTAGAAACAGCATAAAATCCCCAACTGTGTTTATGGCAGCCACTCGCAAAGCATTTTCCACTAGAATAACAAAGGCATCCTTTGCTGAGGTGCAGAAGTTGGTGCTGTTGATAGCTGTGGCTGTATATGCGTTCTGGGAAAAACAGATTGAAGATTTACTCATGGAATTATCAAGTATTTCAGATGAGGGGAGGGAAGAATGGGGAAGAGTATACAGCTGCCGAATAAGTCATATGATGTTAATGAACGAAGATTCCCTTGAGAGTTCTTGAATCAAGCAGTAGGTACCAGCTGACAGAAGAGTATGAGGTAGAGAATTACTGTTCTTCTCCCTCGCTCATCATTTATGCACTAACAAGTTTATTCCAAAAAATTGATTCTGCCCCTGTACTCTACTCTTGTGAGACCCCACCTGGAGTACTGCATCCAGCTATGGAACCCTCAATATCAGAAGGATATTGACCACTTGGAGCAAGTCCAGAGGAGGGCCACAAAGATGATCAGAGGGCTGGAGCACCTCTCCTATGACGAAAGGCTGCAAGAATTGGGCTTGTTCAGCCTGGAGAAGAGAAGGCTCCGAGGAGACCTCATTGCAGCTTTCCAGTACCTGAAGGGGGCATAGAAGGATGCTGGGAGAGGACTTTGTACAAGGGCCTGTAGTGACAGGACAAAGGGTAATGGGTACAAATTGAAAGAGGGGATGTTTAGATTAGATTATCAGGAAGAAGTTCTTCACAGAGAGGGTGGTGAGGGACTGGGAAAGGTGGTAGATGTTGTGGATGCCCCATCCCTGGATGTCTTCAAGGCCAGGCTGGATGTGGCTTTGAGCAACCTGGTCTAGTGCAAGGTGTCCCTGCCCATGGCAGGGGGGTTGGAACTAGATGGTCTTTAAGGTCCCTTCCAACCCAAACCATTCTATGATTCTATGATAAGAATTTGCAATTTCTCTGTAGGAGGAGGGGAGAGGTGGCATAATTAGAACAATGAAGTAGGTAGAAAATATATTCTGGAAATATAAAACATTTTGAGAGTCACACAAGTCCATAAAAATAATTTCTAGATACTTCACTAGATTGCAATCAAAGCTGGCCAGGACAATTTTCAAGGATTAGACTTTTGTTTCTTTGTTTGTTTAATTTTATTTCTGTATTTCCGCAAGCAAAACAAAATTAACAATTGTGAAAAGGATATTAGAGAGAGATTTAGAGAGGTACTTAACAGCAGTGGAACCACAGGCCAATGAAATGTCTTTTACAAAGGGGTGTGACCAGCCAGTGGCTCACAACTTACAACTCTATTTCCACTCTACAGACAATGAAAACAATTTCATGCTGGGTACAGTTTTTCAATTATGTGAAGCTTAAATATTACACCTAGAAAAGCTTCATTCTCTTTCCACAGCAAACATATTTTGAAACTCGATGTAGTTTGATAGAGTGGACATAAGGAGTAACATCTCCAACCACTAACAAAGTTGAGATACCACGTTCATGAAGATGAATTCCAGCAATTTTTCACCTATACAAGGTAAACAAAGATTAACGTAGTGATTTGCAGTGTAATTTCAGTAATGGAGATGTGATTGAAATACCTTCATTGAAGTTCAGTTTCAAAGTACATGTTATGTGTCAGCCTCCAACTGCATTCTGGTAATCACATACCTAATCACCCCTTACATAAAACCTGAATATTGAAAATCTTACCTGATTTAAGTAGGTCAGGCACTTTTCTAGACACCAAAGGCAGCAGATGCAGGCTTTGAGCATACAGCGAGCACAAGCGTTTTCCTAGGAAAGCACAGAATGTGGGGAAAAAGAGCAAACGAACGGATCTTAAGAAAACAACATTCTCTTGTGGTTCAGTAACTGATACTCAGCTGGGTAATTTAAGCAAACCCTTTCAGTCACAAAAACATTCCAAAATAAAGATTTCTAGCCCACACAGAGATTAAATTAAATTAGCTGTAAACATGTCAGGCACTGAGTTTCAGTAAGAAAATGGGATCTAGTTCTCTTACTTTTCCTTTGAGTTGTGTATGAATATACATAAGAATCATTCGTGGTATCTTCACTAGTGTGATAATGAAAGACCCCTTTGCCACTGTTCCTAGGTGGTAACAGACAAGGCGATTAACAGATGCCAGGATAGGAGTAAATGGCAGATTTCTTTTCTCCCTGTTGGAAAGAGAAGAAAGTAGAATGACCAGTATGCACTTAGTATCATCTAGAAGTACTACAAATTCTCAATAAACTAATGTGCAAAAGGAATGTATTATCGTTATACTAGCTTTCAGTGTGTATTGTTCACTCCACACCAACAGCCTGTGCAAGTCACCGTTCTGTCTCTAATGCAGCAATAGGAACAGGATAAGGAAACAGCATGTCTTAAGGCTAGTGTTACCAGCAGTTGGCAGCATTACCCCTATCGTCAACTAGAGGTTTGTATAAAACTACTTTTGATGGTGTGCAATTCAAAACCTTCCAAAAAGCTAAGCAACGAAACTAACTTTTTTCCAGACTATTGACAAACTTGCCTTCTTCATCTCAGCTGTTCTGTTGGAAGTCTTTGTGGAGACTTTGGAGAGGATATTACTATTGCTATTTATGAAGCAAATCCGCTCGCATATTTTTGATTTCAGATTTAGCTATTGTAAACTCAAGGAACAAAGTATTAAGCCTTAAACCAAGCTATTTTATTGCAACATGGCTAGAGTATTTTTACTTTATCAGATGAATACTCATTTTCACAGTTTTGAAGCAATTCCTTCCTAAAGTTTTTATTTATATTTCCTACCAAGGAAGCCACTTATATTTCCTCTCAAAGAACAGCTTTATTCAACATTTAAAGAATGGTTTTTCTTATTAGAAATTTGAACATAATGCTAAGCATATTAAAGGAACAAGTGCTAACATGCCAAACACAAAATATCTCCTCAGCTAGGGAGAAAGTTATTTTCATTTCAGTTTCATTCAAAAATATTAAAAAGGAGAGTCTTCACTCCCTGCAGATATTACATATTACATCCCTGTAATATCTTGTAATAACTTCATAGATGTATTTCATTGGTGTACTGGAGGACCTCATCATTAATAAAAACAACAGAATTTCTGTCAGCACAACGAATTAATTCGTTGCCTTTGATATTGTTTTAAAGGCTAGGGCAGATAAGTAGTCAAATGGAATTCAGCTAACAGTCTCAATTAAAAGGACAAACCAATTAAACATTTGCGATCTACATCATGCACTTGAAAAATTTCTGCATGCACTATTTCAAAACCTGTTTGGTTTTTTTTTTTTTTTTAAACAAACTCTAAAAAGCACATGGGAAGAACAGAATGTGGCTGCTGGATATCTTTAGAAATTTTTTTATACACGATTCTTCACACTGAAGTCTAAAAGCACATACCAAAACCCACTAGCTGAACTACATGTACTTAGGATACTTCTTGGGGACAGTATCATTCCAACATCTTGGTTTTCCTTTCTTAAGTAAACCACCATTGCTAAGCATCTTGCCAACATCCTCTAATCATGCTGCTCTTTATCCAGAGGAGTTCTGTTTATATTGTTTGGAAAACACTTTGAAAACATCTGAAATAAAATTACTCATCTAGTTCTTGAACAATGATGTTGCATTTTGGAGGCAGGGGAGAGTTGAAGAAATGTATCATGAACTACTAGATCTAGAAGTAGATCAGTAGATCAGTAGATCAGTAGATCAGTATTTGTTTTCTATCTACCAAGTTTATCAGCATTAACTATTAGCATTACAGATGATCTTCCAGGTGTTATTTTGCTTTGCAAACAATCATCCATGTCCATACAGTGTGTAGAGGTTACAAGGCAAACAGGAATTCAAGTCCTAAATATCAAGCATACCATCTACTATCAGCAAACCAGATTATTTTTGGACTTGACATGATTCAGAAAGAATCAATACAATTCAACTGCTCTCCGGCCTTCCGGACAGAAGCAAATAGTCTCCACAAATGCTGTGTCCCTCATTAATTCTGTTCATTCCATTTCTAGGCTGCTCACTAAGAGCTAAGTTGTCCTTACCTTGTAAAATAGTATGTCACAACAGCCCCTGCTACTGTCATCTGCTGACAGGCTAGGATAAACTCGCTGATCCAGATCAGTCCTACTACATGGTACCACCACATGTATTTCAAAGGGCCTACCATCTGAAATTCAACAAATCCTTCTTCATTTGGGACAGGACTACCTAGAAATAAATGAAGGTAAAAAGGGAAATGGTGCTTACATCAACTCAGAAAGAAGGAAGCATATGGTGTTTGCAGTTCATAACTGTCTACAACAGAACCCCTCCATCTTCTACAAACACTACTAAACGTCATGCTTAGGAAGACTGTTCATAAGATGATAAAGCATTTGAGACAATCAGTGTAATGGCATTTGAAAAAAGCAATAAAAAATATTCTGAGTGTACTCAAATACTGCAAACTTCATTTACAGCCACATGGTGAATATTTCTAAAACTAACCACAATCAAGTAGCAAAAGTGCTTATAATAGAACATAACAGAAACCTGCCCTAGTCATTCTTAGTTTGTCTGCCATTCTGTTGATATTGTTAATACAGTCAGGATCAATCTTAAACTTCATGTCAACATTAACAATCACCTTTTTTCCTTGCACTAAGTCTTTGTGCATGTTTTTCAGCAATATCTGTAGCTTTAAAGGTATTTACAGACATAACGAGCAGCTTTAGAGATGTTAACAAATGAAGTATACATTCAGAAATCCACTGAGTCTTTGTCTCATGTGATACCATGTGTTGAGACTGACAGTACATGTCAGATCCCGCCAAGTTTAAGCTCTATTTCAATGTGTTAACCCACATGAGATGTTTCACCTTACACAACAGTTATGTGAACAGCTGATGAGATTCAGAAAAATCCTGAAAGTAACATCACAGGAATAAAACGCTTACCTTAAGAAACATTGTTTAGACTTAGCACTAACAGCACCTCTCCACCACCTTAGTTATGCTTTTACACTTATATAAACAATTAGTATTTTCTTGTGAACAAATCGAACTACTTAAATAGTTTTGGTTTTAGTGAACAAGCTCTTCATAAATATAGGCTTCTTTTTATACATTGAGAATGCACACTTTTTCAGTTCTCCTGGTTTGGATTGAAAAGATCTGTCCCTGTTTGTAAAAAGATTTTGTTTAAATCAAAACAAAAATCAAACAAAATCTTCACTGTGATAATCAGTGAAGATACTGATTGCATATAAATCTACAAGCATAAATTAGACTTGCCAGAACCCAGGCCAATCAAAGAGCTCTGTCAAAAAAATATAATATCAGCCTAAATTCTGCGCAAATTTAGCCTCTATGCAGTGGTCTTTAATTCACAGAGTGGAACATGGGGCTGAGACTTAACTCACTTTCCAAAGCAAACACCTTCTGCGCACAGCACAGCATGTAATGAAAGCTAAAAATTTCAATGGTAATGAGAACAAGAATACATGCATTTTATTACCTCCTTAGCCTTGCTAAGAATTCAGGCTATGAAATAAAAAATATATATCTTTTATTATCCTGTAGAGAAAAGTAGCTCTGTGACCTGAAACACTGCCACTTTTGGATCAGCAGTAAACAGTAACATTCAGAATTCTAAGATTTTAATAATGAATGATGGTCTCTATTGACTACAACTTACTGCAAAATAACACAGACAACTCCCATTTTAAAAAGCAGTTGCTAGGTGTCTCTACTGAAGTAACAAAGACTTGAATATATAGGACTGACTAATTCTAGAAGTTCTTACAAGACCCTGAACACAAAGCTTTCATCTTCTCCTCACTTCAGAGCAGGCAGTAATTGCGAGTACACTGGCTGCCCTCAGAATGTGGTGTACAAACAGCAGAAAAATCCCCCTAATAATCCCGGAAAATGCTGAAATAATACTAAACACCTAGGTTATGAACAACTGAACACTACTTTGAGTATATTCACATTTTGGGAGACAGTGTGCAACAGCCCTTCCATTATTATGTCTTTATCTGTGTAAGTACTGGCTACAATACATTACCTCATGAGCTAAGCTGTAAGATCACCTAGTTTTCAGAAGTTTATGTAAAATTAGAGAGAATTATTTGAAAAAATTGTTAAAGCAGCTTCATTAATGGAATCTTGTGGTTTGTGACATGCCAACTTGCATTAAACCAAAAAGCCAGCCCAAGGCACAAAGTAACATACTGGGAATGCAGACTCCAATGCACAACAGCTGTCTTGAAACAAGTGTTTTGAAGTCACCAAGGCAGACAACAGAAATGTAGTACGTGTGGGTTTTTTCTAGAAGTTCCCACATGCTTTTTAACCAACTCTGCCTGAAATCATACAAAAACAAAGTGGAATTTATTTAAAATAAGCCTGGTAGCTGCTTACCTGTAGTGCCAAGGAAAAGCAGGACTGTGATCCAGTATGCCCAGAAGAGGATAAGCACAAAGAATGTCCAAAATGGCTGGAAGACTAGAAGCGGCAGGTGAATGAAGACCTTGCCGGCCACGTGGAACAAGGCAATGGTGAGAGCTACTCGTTTGCGCATAATTAACATTATCAAGAACAAGATAACCTACAGGGAGAAGTTTCCAAATCACATTTTAGAGAATTGAAAAATAGGCAAGCTATCAGTTTGCACAGCTATGATATTCAAACACAGCAAATTAACACATGCTCTATCTATAAGATCACAAGATCAAAATGTAAAGCTTCTATCAGCTTCTTCTGGTGATAAACTATTTTCCAAATTATACTTCTGGGAATTTCAATCTCATAATTATGTACTTGGAATCACCATTAGCCTCAGGTTTACGAGATTAGACCAGATTCTTTCCTTAACTGTGTTTTACAAACCGGAGAAATCAAATAAGAATATAATTGAAATCTGTATTTGGGCATGGTGTAGTGGACTTGTCATAACTTAGTCAACATTATTAGTAGTAAATTAGTAGTAAATTAATAACTTAGTCAATTATTCGTAGTAAATTCAGTCTGAAGAATGTAAGAAGATAAATAGGTTCATTAACAATTTTTAGTATTTTAGTTCACAATGATCCTTCTGCAAATGGAAAAAGTTTGGGAACAACCGATTTCAGAAGCAGCAATGGTCTAGGGACTTTCAACTAGACTGAAATGATGAAATACCTCTGAACTGGGAACCTAAAAAAAAAAATCCCATAAGTGAAATGTATTGGGAGTCCAATATTGTACCAATTCATGGAAATCCCTGTGGACATTTTACAGTAGAGTAGCTGCAGGGTTAGGAACTCTCTCATGACTCTAAACCAGGTATTACAGAACAATGCCTGTAAGCAAAAAAAAACCCACAAACAAACAAACAAAAAACAAAACGCAACAGAATTTGCAGTAGAAATAAACTCTTGGAAAATGTGTGCAATATAAACCTTTCACCTCAATAAAAAATAGAGACAACCAGGAAGACAGAACAAGAAAATAATACAGTCATTAGCAAAGCATACCATGAAGACTGTAGCTGAAATGGCATAGATCAGAAGAGCCTGAAGATTGTCTTTGGCTACTTGAGTATCAACAGCACTGGCAGATATTCGTTGCTTAGCGTAAAGCCACCACAGGACTCCTGTACCACCTATGTTTTAGAGGGGGGGGAAAAAAAAGGATAGCTGAAAAATGATCCTTCTATGTGACACAGTTATACTACCTAGTACCAAAGAAACTAAACAGTTTCTTCTTTTAAGTTTAGTCTGGTACAGAATGCTCAAGGGCAGTGACGGCTAAACCAACAAGAACTTCTGAGGATGGAGGAGTGTCCTCTTCTCAAGTGGATATACTCTGTGAAAATCACAGCCTCACCCCACTATGATCAGAGAACTGCAGTTCTCTGACTCTGCGTTTTAAGGTGAAGTGTATGAGAAGACTAGTTCATGGAAAGCCCTAACAACCAAGATCACAGCTTCCATGAGACAGGCAACAGAATGACAAAAAGAAGACTAAAGAGTTATATGGTACAACCTATATATATATGTGTATAATATGGTAGGGAGTAAGAATTTAGGAGAGGGAACAGAAGGAGCTTTGGATTAGGATGCAAAGTAACAAGAGGAACAAGAGAAAGAGACTGCAGCTGCTGGGAAGACTGACTGAAAAGGATCAGCCTTGATACCGAAAACAGCATCTTGAGTTAATGACACATAGCTACACCTGCATCAGACAATGTATTTTGGGTACTGGAAAAAACATCAGTGAAAGGCTTAGGAGGCCAATAGAGCGTGAGGTACTTTCTTCTAACCTCTGTTATGCAATCCTTGCCTTATGGCCAGAATGTCAGTCTCATATTCTAGCTAACTTTCCAAGATAGAACTTTTTTTTAAATACAAGACTCCAGTACCTCAGGGAGGCTTTTCAGTATCTCTTTTGAGTATCTTTCTCTGTTCTGTTGTATTTCATCAGCAACATAAGCGTATTTAGTGATCACAAGTTGTTGCTGAAGGTACTCCCTTCAGGTCTGAAATGAAGGATGTTCTTTTGACATATCCTAAACAGTGAATACCAAATAAGCAGTGTGTCTCACAAATTACATTCTTATTCAGTCTGTGTAATGGATGCAATTTCTTAGAACATAGTAACAGATGGCAGTAAGTCATTCAACTCTTTCACTTCACACAGTTGCGCAGCTTTTATAGAGAATATAAATGGAAAAAAAAAATCTATTTTTTCCCTTTTCTGTGGTCAGAGATCCTATGAACAGTAAGCAGAAAAAACAAGTGACCCTAAGACGACATAAATGGTCTGCTGATTTTTTTCCATCCCCTGAAGCCATGCACTGCAAGAATTAAATTGCCAGTACTTCCTAATTTAATTATGCTATTTTTTTACACTCATCTGCCCATACATTTTGGTTCTGCTACTGAGTATCAGTAATAGAAAACTTAGTTTTACAAATGTAAAAATTAATGTGATAAAGCAAGGCTATCTTCATGCAAGCTAAATCATTTTGGATGAGACAATCTTTGGCTGTTCCCAAGATGGCAGGGCTGGCTGCATTTCATACATGACTTAGGTCATGCAGCACTGTGAGTCATATGGAAATAGAAGGATTTGATTAGAAATGTTAGAAAAGCACCTTTGCTTCCTCTCCTCACTGATAGATCAACATACCTACAGAGACACCTGGAGGACTGAAGGGGCTGATGAACCTGTCAGGATTGTACAGACATATCATCTTAAGGGTCCCCTGAGGCTGCATAAACAATAGTTGTGCTTTGATTCCTGCACATGTGAACATGCACAGTGTGTGAGTACGCCCTCACACACACCCAGACCAGCTGTCTTGATCAGCCTGGAAGGCAGGTTAAGAAGCAGCTAACGTTTAGGGCTGTGCTACAAGTACTGTGAGGAATATCCCCTATGCCTATGAGAACTCTAGTGAGACAAGCCAACAGGAAGTCTACCAGTCAAGCAGGGAGTGCAGCGAATGTCTAAGGAGCAACACGCTCTCTGGGAGAGGACTGCAATTACAAAGGTGGAATTTTTGTCATGTCTTGCAAGGGACTCAAAGGAAAGCTATGGTCCAAGATCTGTGCAGTATGATGCTGGCCTGAGGACATGGAGCACAAAAATTAGAACTGGGCACTCAAACTAGGAGACAAACAAGACTTACCGAGTGATCCCAGAATGACAAGAATTGTTAAAATCCAGACAAGTATTCTTGAAATGTACCTGATTATAACCATCAAAATCATGGACAACACTGCAAAAGAAGACAAACAAAATAAGTAGAGCAAGTATTGCAAGTGGAAATAGCCTTCCTAATTCTCCCACTGCACTAAGATAACTGCCTTCCAACAGAATTTTTAGACAGATTTATTTTCTGAGGCTTACAAACTCACTGCACAGATAGTTAGGTAAATTAAGCACCCTTAACACCTTGTGCTTCGATACTGTTGACTAAAACAAAACCAGCATAAACACATTTACATGGTACATTAAATAGAAGACATAATGTGCATGCATATACAGACAGAGATGTTTAGACAATGACAAAACAGACAACAAGACATGATAGTACTCAGAGTCTGGTAACATGGGCACACCTCCTGAGGACCAGAGCACAATCTGCACTCAAATACACTTGTCAAACAAGTGCAGATAATGTGACACCTGTGTATTCCAAAATGTCATGCCAGTAAAAAAAAAAATTACTACTTTATTTTAAACATTCAAAATGAGTTCTTTAACAATCTTTGTTCATATAATTCCACTGTTATTTAGGAACTGCATGTTAAAAAGCCCTCTACAATCTCATCCAATCAAGATCTAGTGAGTGGTGTGTGTAAGCACATGCACATATATTTGCATATACCTATTCGTGTACAGCAGTTACATGAAAGCCAATGGAACCTGCCTTTCTGAATCACACAATCTTACTCCTTGTTTAAAATTCTGTTTAACTATGAAGGTATGAAAAATATTTTTTACATTAGCTGTATGTAAAACTCCAGACTAACTTCTAACTCTAACCCAACAGTAGCACTGCTAATCAGCCACTAGTTTTCAGATTTGGAACAGTTTTTCTAGCATTTTTATCAAATACTGTAGCTGTCAAGACAGAAGAATAAACAGCTTTCCAGTTATAGTTGAAATAATACTCAATGGTCTTTCATTTTGGGGGTTTTGTTTGTTTCTAAACCACAAAGGCAGACTGAAAACGAATTATTTATCTGGTACAGCTTCACTGTGTTTCTTTCTAATCTACACACTGCCCATATACATGGACAGTATCTAGAACTTCCCATTTTAGGATTTCAGATTTTATACTTCGTAGGTGTATAATAAACTCACTAGGAAAGTAATTTATGTGGGTGAGTAGCATTTCACCTTAATTCACATGAATTTGTTAAAACCGCACTTCAGTCCAGTGCAATGTGTCACTCTGTAGGCCAGAGACATACCACACTGCAGAAACAATTTAGAACCTCTATACTGCTGGGAATTTCTAGCTCTTCAGGCAAGGCTGAGATTCTCAAAGGCCTAATGTTTTTAACTTTGGGGGAAGGGGAAGAAGGGCATAATACACAATAAAACAAACGTGCACTTAACTTCCTTGTTTTCCCTCTGAAAGTTCTCATATCCCTGCACAAGTATGTTAAATGAAACAAACTAAACGCCTGTTGTGCACTTCTAACCCTGTCCTTTTTAACTGGAAATGGTTTATTTTGGACTTGAGTTAGCAGAAGATGAGTATTACAAACGGGAAAGGTGAATATTATAATAAAAATGAGGATAATGGGAGTGATGTGTTAATTATACCAAAACTAATGCTGGCTAATCAACTGCAACATATCCTCTGTATTTCATTATCAGTGGAAGAGGAGAAAAACAGGAATGCAGATGTATATTGCCTCTGAATAAGTTATCCAGCTGTCAAATAACATTTTTAAAAAGCATTCTGAACCATTTTCTAAGGGCTCATTGCTATCATACATTTTCTTGCTCATATTGTGGTCAGAGGGTGTTAACAATCTCCTAATGCAGTACTAAGAAATAGCTAATAATGAGAAAAACAATTACCTAGTGATAACAAGCAAAGTCCCATTATAATCTCTTTGCTGGTCATAACTCCACTAATCAGCCTGTGTAAGACACTACTGTCACTGACAAAGGTGATCAGGGCCTCTGCAAACTTGGCATAGCAGGAAATGTTCACAGGAGCACAGCGATGGAAGAATGGAATAGGTGCACTGGTGACACAAGAAAAAAAAAATCAGAAAAAAAAATTACTCCTACTTAATATAAATGCCACATCAACACACAAATGAAAGATGAATAGATGCAACCACTCCACCCTCCTAACATCATAACCAGAAACCATGTGTTGAATGCACAAGTGCTGCTGGAATGAGGATGATCATAATGGGAAGTGATGCAGTTCTTACAAGTAACCCTATGAGACTAGAGCACGTAGTCCAATAGAAAATTATTACCCCTCCCACCCTTAAATGGCAAGGCTCCGAAAATACATATTCCTATTTCCACTTTAACATCTCTCATTCAAGTGTCAGGTGGTGAACCAGCAGCTGAAACAATGCCTTTCACTCATGTTAGGAATACTGGCCCGTACTTGCAGCAAAAGACATCCCAGAATGAAAATACTCTTCTTGCAAGCATACGTTATGTTAAAAGACAACAGCACTTAAAACTGCTGACAAGCA